GTTCGAGGTTCCAATTGGCTCTTGGGTAAGTTGACTAAAAACCCGTGTTCCCGTAGGACCTGCAAGGTTAGTTGTAGGTCGGCTAGTGCCCTTGGGAGGGTGGGGGCCTGAACTAAAATTCATCCAGGTAGGCTTGTACCAGGACAGACCGTAAGTGCACCACCAGGGCCGCCAAGACCTTTGGGAAACTGTGTGGGGCTGATGCCAGGCTGAATGGGAGGGCACGATATTGAAGGTGTTGCCCCGTGTAGCTGAATCTGAGATAACACTGGTGGGCCGGCGAGATAGGGATATGCAGGTAGGCCTCGGACAGGTCTACGGAGGCTAGGAAGTCTCCGGGTCTGATCCCCTCTAGGATGGACTTAAGAGTGTTCATTTTGAACCTCCTGTAGACAAGGTGGGTATTCAGTGATTTTAAGTTGAGTATTGCTCTCCAGAGCCCCCAGAGTGCTTCGGCAGCACGAAAAGGATTGAGTAATATCCCTGTCTCCATTGGTCGGGAGGGACCTCCTCCTCCTTGATCTCTAGGAGATGTTGGATAGCCAGCTCCATGAGTCTGTGCTTGCGAAGTGAGTTGGAGACCGGTCATGGTACGAAGCAGTTCGGGAGGCTGGAAAGGAATTCCAACGGGAGTCCGAATTCGATGGTGTGGAGGAACCATTGGTCGGTCGTGGTGCGAGCCCACCTGTCTACAAAGAGGCGCAGTCTGCCTCCTATGGGGGGAGTGGGAATTGAGTCATTTCTGACAACCAGTTCCGCGAAATGGCCATTTTGAAGGGCCGTATGACTTTGGCTTGTCCTGAAAGGAACCCCTGTCCTGTTGGCAAAAGGAGCCCTGGAAAAAAGGGCATTGGCTAGAGCCCTCCTGGGGAAAGTAGCCGGCAGGCTGCCTGCGGTAGTAGGGGGTTGCCCTGCGATCTGCTCTTCTAGTGGCAGAAGGCAAAACTTTCTTCCTGTCCTTATCCTCAACCAATAAAGGTTTGAGGGAGTCACCAAACAATGTCGACCCCGTGTACGGGGCTGATGCGAGTCGCCATTTGGCTTTTAGGTTGGCTGGCCATTGGTGCAGCCATAATAGGCGACGCGAAGTGACTGATGATGCCATTGCTCGAAATGCGTATTGGTAGCGTTAAGCATGGCATCGGAGGCAAATTGAGTGGCTGCAATGATTTTGTTAAGGTCCTGGTGGACCCGGACCTCTTGGACGGGTAAACATGATTGCAGTTGTTGGAGCCATAGTAGTGAGGAACGAGTGAAGAAAGACGCCGCAGTAGCGGCTTGTATGGCCCAGGCTGAAGCCTGGTGTGTTTTCTTGAAGGACAGGTCAAATTTCTTGTCCTCAGGCTTAAGGCCCTCAGATGTGTCACCCGAGATATAGGGAAAAGAAGTGGAAAGATCAGCCACAGGGCTATCCACAGAGGGTACCCGTGGAATGGTGGTCAGCGAAGGCTCCATATTGTAATTGCGACGGTCAGTGCCGCTGGGCGTAGGAAGAGATGATGGATTGGCCCATTGATTTCGGACCACGTCCGTAAGCAGTTTGGGTGCCTGGATGAAAAGTTGTTCGGCAATTGGTTCGGAGAAGATACCGTGGCCAGTTGAATTTGCAGCAGAATCAGTAATCAGATCCAAGAGGCCTGAGGTGACTTTCGCTTTGTGCAGTAGCGACTTAAAGAGTCCCTGAGGAAATAGGCCTGTGAAGGCCGGAACATCCCGAGGGGCACCTTCGTCATCTGAAAGATCCGTATCTATTTGTGGCTCGTCCTCCAGGCCGAGTTCAGTGCTGCCCCTAGATCTCGTTGGGGACCTTTCAGGGGATCCAGTGAGATTGGCAGAAGGTGAAACTCAGGTGCGTCGTGAATGAAGGCTTTCCGAAGCCACAGAAGCTGGGCGATGTTCCTGTATGCCTGCTGCAATGCCATGCGAGATGGCCCTGGCAATCAAGTTTTGAACCGCCTCATGCAGATCTTGCAGTTCCAATGAGTTGGAACGCTGGGTAGGTGGAGGTGCGGGTGGTTCCTGGAGGGTAATTGCGCAAGCGAAGGGATCCCCCTTTTTCTGGTTCTTGGAAGGTGGAAAATCAGAATATTGCTGGTCAGGTCTCTCTGGGGATAAAGCCTTGGAGAGCTCAAGGTTATCATTGGCGTCCTGGTTCATAGAACCAGAGTGGGCACTTACAGTGGAGACCTCAAGATCCGCTTTCTCGTTCTCTGCTTGCAAATATTGTTGCTCCAGTGCACTTTGGCGACATTGGAGGTCTTTAATCTCAGTCTGCAGTTGGGTAGATTTTTTGCCAGAAGCAGACTTGGAGTGGCCTTGCGGTTAGTCTCGGACTAGCCATTCCGCCATTGTGAAGCTGGGCTAAAAAGATGAGGGCAATAGCCTACACTCCTAATGAATAATGAGGGGCTTCTTCAGGTATCGCTGGTATTCTCTGGTACTGGAAATACCAGTACCAGAGGGGCTAATGAAGGAACCTGAAGCAAACTGCAGTGGCAGAATTCTCTCTCTCTCTCTCTCTCTCTCTCTCTCTCTCTCTCTCTCTCTCTCTCTCTCTCTCTCTCTCTCTCTCTTTCTCTTTTTTAAATGGCCGCCTGAGGTGGAGAGGTGGTAACAAAATGGCCGCCCCCAAGGAATCAAAGTGGCTGCCCACATTGATCCTACTCACAGTGCCTTGAAATGGACGCTCCGGAATAAGGCTTGATCGCCCAGTCTCAAAAGACTACGTTGGCTGCCAACAATAGCAAAGTAAGAGCCCTTTGAATATGGGGTGAACTCCTTCGTTAGAAGTGCTACAACCTTCGCGATCACGCTAGTAAGAAATGGCCGCCGGAACGTCGATTCAAAATGACGTCCATTGGCGCGATATTAGAGGCGCGATAATGGCTGCCGCTGGTGAAGTTCCAGCAGCTAGTGGCTGAGGGAACAGCTGATGAAGCGATTCGGCTGCTGGTGCTGTAAGAATGGCCGGCACTTAATTTGCAAGCGGCGAAGCGATGGGAGCGCTAGCGCCGATCAGCTGTTGAGTGGGGCGGCGGCAGCGGCAGTGTTTTCAGCCTAAAACTGAAGTGGCTAGCTCGCACAGCGCAGAAAGTCTCAATCTTCGAAATAGAAGCAAATATAACGTTGATCAGTGTGTCAGGAGTGAGAAGACTCGAAATTCCGTCTGGTCAGATCACTGAGTCAAATAAAACTGGAGGCGACGGAGGCACGAGGAGGCGTGGCCAAAACTATTCGACTCAATGACTGGCCAGACCAACTGGATCATCCCACTCCTGACCCACACCGCAGCCTTCTGGGAGAATATTGGATTCCTTAACCATAATATATATATAATTGAGTGTGTATAAAATGAACTACTCTTTGTTTCAAATGCTTCAAGAGGTTGGTCTTGAGTTGGCTCTGGACAAACAGTAAAGCAACAGGAATTTTAATGCTCTGAATTTAATCTTCCAGCTGGAACAGTGGCTCTGTCTGGTCTAAAAACCAACTCAACTTTGAATGTATCAATATAGAAATTTCTGGTAGATTTATGAAGTTAGACTATTTCACTCTCAGTTAAGCCTCAACACTTTATGCTAATAAAAATATGTTATATAAGATGAATTTTTCAAGAGGATTATATATAGGCACAGGCAGGAATTTTAATAACCAGTAGGAACAGCCTAATCACAAAAGGCAAGTGAGTTTTGCATCACTAGAGCTTCCAATAAATAACTTAGAGATATGTAGCCTTGCTGCAATTATTCACTATAATTATAGGTATCTCTGAATTCTGATGATATTGAATTCAAGATGGGAGCTGTCCATTTAATTAAATTCTACTAATGGAGGAAGCATGATATGAAAAATAAAATCCAAATTTTAAGTGTCTCAGTGATTACATATATAATATATAGTTATGAATGTGTCTGTATATTTTATATATGATAATTTTTACTATATACATAATTTTATTATAAATTACATATCATTTTACATATTTATTATTTATATAACAATGTAAATAATTTTTTGTTTACTGACTGCCAAGTGAGTATTAGAAAAATAGTACAACCATAAGAAAAGTTTTATTTTATATTTTTATAACTTATTAGAGATACTGGCTATTTGAGGATGATTCACCAAAGTACCCAGTAAAAAGTCTGATAAAACTTTTTATTATAAACAAAACAGTGTTTTAGTAATAATAATTCATTAAACTTGTATGCCTCCTGACTCTTTGGACAGCTCACAACAATCTGATAAAGACACTGCAGTAATATTAGTAAAATAAGTAAATTAATAATGCCACAAAGGTAAAAGTTGGCAAGAAAGATGAAGCATGAGATATTACTCTGCTTTACTGCAGTCCTTGTGAAGAGTCAAGCCTTTGTGGTTCTCGTAACAGAATGTGAGAATAAGCTCGTAAAATGTGGGAGGGGAGAGATATTGCCTAGGCCTAGGGAAGGATCATAGAGCTGTGGTGGTGCAGTGGTTATAATGCAGTATCGCAGGCTAATTCTGCTGATTGCCAACTGCTGGCAGTTTGAGCTCACAGTTCAAGATTGACTCCTGTGTTCGGCCATGGGAGTGGCGGGTGAGTGTGTAAAGCTTCATTTGCACATGCACATGATCTAGATGGGTGTGTGAAACCAACCCCTCCACTCCTGGTTCACTGGTTCTACCACTCCTGGTTCATGGAGCCAGAAAGATTGGGGATCCCTGTTTATCAGTTTTACATACCAAAGCCATCACACTTCTCAAGGTTTTGATTTAACTATAATTAAGTTAAATTATGAACAGTTGTTTCCTTCATCTGTGGTATCTAAGTAATAAAAAAGTCATTCCTACTTGAAATTTTAAGAGGTTAAAGAACAGGATCCTATGGCATTGTTATTGTGATTCATCTTTGTTGCTTTATACATTCTGGTTAATAAATAACTTCATTCTTTTTCATTTTCAAGGATAACGAACTATTGTCAGAATTAGTTTTTGTTTAAATTAATATTTTGTTGCAGAACATTGTTGAGAACTTTCCCTAATATGAATGGCAACAATATGAATGGCATAAAAAATGAATTTGCTGTCATGTAGTGATCACCAGAATAGTTTTCATAGGTGAGTTGGTAAGGATAAATTGCTGGGGAAAGATAAGTGGGTAATGTAATCTGAGAAGCATGCTTTGGATTTATTTAGTTATTGATTAAAGTAAAAGTGAAAAGTTGAACCTGATACTTTTTCTCTATTGCACATTTCTTAAGAATGGACCACATGGATAATTATAAGTAAATTTGACATATGTAGCGTGATTATTTAGCAAGTTTGCTTAGTGCAACTAAAAACATTAATTTTAGGAGAATGGGGAGGAAATAAAAGATGAAAATAGCTATATATAAACCTGCTTATTGTTTTATTTTTGAGTGATTCCTGCAAAATAGAATGAAACAGTCTACCTGAATACAAGGAAGTTGCCTGAAAGTGTAACTTGATAAATGTTAAAAAAATTCAAGGACCTGGTGGTGGAACTGTTTGTAGGACAACAGAGAAATCCAGAATGGCACCTTGTGTTGTTTATTTTATTTTATTTATTTAAATAATTTATGCTGCCTATCTCACATAATGATCCTAGGCAGCTCATTTTTTTTTCTTCAGTTCAATTATGTCCAATTCTTAAAGACTTCCTAGACAGTCCTTGCAATTTTGCTAGCAAGGATTTTCAGGTTTGCCATTGCCTCCTTGCTACAGTTGAGAGAAAGTGACTGGCCCAGGATCACACATCTAATTTTGTACCTAAAGTGGGATTAGAACTCACAGCTTCCTGTTGCTAGCCTAATACCTTAACCACTGTACCCCACTGGCTTTCAAAACAGCCCAATACAAAAAGAATAAAAGAACAAGAATAAATGTGGAAGGATGGGAAGATGATTTGACTTTGAAAGCTGCCATCTATCTTGGTGGATATCACCATATCTAATGGCAGGAATTTTTTGTTGAAACTATGCATTGATGCCATATCTTTATATATTTAGTTCTTATGAATAACTCTAATTCTAATAGGAATTAAGAAAATTATCCACAATTTCTACAAACATTGATTTATTTCCTTATTTTTTCTTGTCCGTTTTCTTTCTAAGCAAAATATAAAATGTGAAAATCTTTCCTTTAAAGGGGAATTATTCCAAACCATTTATTATTTTGGCTGTTCTTTTCTGTATCTTTTTTATAGTAATTGCATCAAACATTAAAATTAAAAAGATAAAAATACAATTAAAAATAAAAGAATAAAAATACAAAATGTAGAAAATTAAAAGGAGAAATAAAAAGAGAAAAAATAGAAAATAAGCAAAAATAAAAAATATAGTAAAGAAAAAGAAAATATATAAAGAAATTACTTGTCATTTATCAGAACAAATATAAATAATTTTAGTAACTTACCACCTACAATACAAAAACAAGTCCTCTTCCATTATCCCATCTCTTATCTATTTATAAATCCTTAAAACCTGTTATTTAGCCCTAAATCACAAAAGTTGACTAAGGGTTAACACAGACAACAATGCATCTTTTTTAACAAAAATTCCAATTTCAATTGAACAGTGTGTTGTCTGGGTACAAATCATTTTAGGAAATAATAATCAAAGTGCTCACAACAATATTCCTTGCATTAATATCAATTATATTCATAATCATAATATTTGTTTAACCAAGCTAACATATCTTCCTTATATCACTGATCCTTCTATATATTTCCCTGTTTCTAGCTCCTGTTTTTGTCAGCCAGCCATTGATAAAATGTCCCAAGTCAAAAAGTATCCAGTTTCTTTCTTTTCCTTAATTGTAAGTATTACAATTTCTGCACATTCTAATATTTTCTAATCACATCATCATCTGTTGGGATCTCTTCATTTTTCAATTGTTGTGAAAATACTATTCTTGCTGCAATCAGTACATATAGAATCAAATATACATTGTTATATTTGTCTGGTAAAATGCCCAACAAAAAAGTCTCTGGTTTCAAATCTATATGTTGTTTTATCATTTTTTCCAGCCATCTATGTATTTTTTTCCCTATATTTTTTCACTTTTTGACATGTCTACCACATATGATATTATGAACCAGGTGTCTGATGACATTTCCAACATTTTTCAGATTTATTCTTAAACATCTTTGCTAACCTTGAGGCCAGAAAATGCCATCTACAAAACATTTTATAAAGATTTTCTTTATATACAGTAGACATTGTTAATTTATAATTTCTATTCCATAATTTCTGCCATTTATCTAACTCAATCAAATAGCCAAAATTTTTAACCCATACTATCATTGTCTCTTTTACTTGTTCCTCTTCCCTCTTAAAGCTTAACAAATAGCTATATAATTTCTTTATTAACTTTTCATCTGTCCTTGTTAATATCTGATCTAATACTGTTAATTCTTTATATAAACCATACATTTATATAAACCATACATTTTAGCCTTCTCATATCTAGATTGTATCTGCACATATGACCATCATGTTATCTCAATCCCTTGATCACTCAATTCCTGCTTAGTTTTAAGTTCCCCCTTTTCATTTAAAACATCTTTATATCTGGTAACGTTCTTTATATAAATAACATTTGGGTAAATCAGTGGTGCATTGTGGAAAATCAGACCAGTATTTTCAAATAATGATTTCTTTAATTTTCTACCATACTAATAATAATGCACTAACATAGTGTCTTTGGAAATAGCTATGTATTTTGTATCTTCCATACCATAAAAAAGCATGCCCACCTAATTCAAGATCATGTCCCTCAAAGGTCAGTAGTCTTTTGTTCCTCAAGCCAATCCATTCTTTCACCCAAGTAAGAATCAAAGCCTTGTAATACAATTCCCAATCTGGTAGCCCAAAACCACCTCTATTTTTAGAATTTTGCAACATTTTCAAACTTATCCTTGATTTTTTCCTTTGCCAAATATATTTTAATATAGTTTTATTTAATTCTTCAAAATATTTTTTTTCGTTTTATTGCTTTGTTTAAAATAAATATAGTAATCTTGGCAAGAGATTCATTTTTATAGTGACTATTCTTCCCATCAAGTGTAGATTTTTCTACTTCTCCAAATCCGTTTTAACTTGTTGCGCCAATTTATAATAATTATCTTCTTTAATCGTTACACACTTTGCCATTAAATGAATTCCTAAATATTTAACTTTCTTGACTATCTGTATATCTTTATTATTCGTTAGTTCTTTTTTCTATATGCCTGTAACATTTTTAACTATTGTTTTGGTTTTTTATTTATTTATTTTCAGTCCTGCAACTTCACCATATTCTTCTATTTTCTTAATTAATTTAAATCCATTTTCTTGTGGGTCTTCCAAGATAAAGACCATCTGTAAATGCCTGTAGTTTATATTGTTCCTTTTTTATTTCCATACCTTTAATTTCTATATCTTGTCTAATATTTCTATTTAACACTTCCAATGTCAATATAACTAGTAGAATTCTTTATTGGCCAAGTGTGACTGGACACACAAAGAATTTGTCTTTGGTGCAAATGCTCTCAGTGTACATAAAAGAAAAGATACATTCATTAAGAATCACAAGGTACAACACTTAATGAAAATCATAGGGTACAAATGAGCAATCAAATCATACTAGGAAATAATATAATCGTAAGGATACAGAAACAAGTTACAGTCATACAGTCGTAAGTGGGAGGAGATGGATAATAGGAACGATGAGAAGATTAATAATAGTAATGGTAATGCAGACTTAGTGAATAGTTTGACAGTGTTGAGGGAATTATTTGTTTAGCAGAGTGATGGCGTTCGGGGAAAAATTGTTCTTGTGTCTAGTTGTTCTGGTGTGCAGTGCTCTATGGCATCATTTTGAGGGTAGAAGTTGAAACAATTTATGTCGAGGATGCGAGAGGTCTAAATATTTTCACAGCCCTCTTTTTGACTCATGCAGTAAACAGGTCCTCAATGGAAGGCAGGTTGGTAGCAATTATTTTTGTAAAGAAGATAGTGGACAACCTTCTCTTGTGCCTTTTTTTGTGTTAAAATTCTCTGTCATATCTCTATTTACCATCACCTTTTCTGTTTGTTTGTTGTATATTGCCTTTATCATATTAATAATGATTTGTTGTATATTGCCTTTATCATATTAATAAATCTTTCACTAAAGACCATGACTTTTAGTCATGACAGCATAAATTGCCAATTCACGTTGTCAGATGCTTTCTGCGCATCTAAGAAGATCAACGCCATTTGTTTTCCAGGATGTGCTTCATAATATTCCAATGTATTTAAAATCATTCTCATATTGTTTTTAATCTGTCTCTTAGGCAAGAAACCATTTTGGTCTGGATGTATAAATTCATTTAGAAACTTTTTAATCTCTGCCATTAAAGGGTTCTGGGACGGGGGTGGGCTCTGTGGGTTTGGGGGAGAACCTGTCGGGGAGGAGGCCAGAGCCGGCTGAAGAGCGCAGCACAAGAGGTGTGGGGTCAAGGATGGGGTTAGAGCTTGTATTGTGGATGGACATTATATCAGTACTGTGGGTGGGAGGGGCAGATATGGCGGGAGCAGGGGGCCACATCAGGTTGTGGGAGCGCGCGCCCACTGGCTCCAAGCGGTGGTGCGCTCCGGCCTCCAGTGTTCCTCTCATTCCCCAGGTTGCACAGACCCTCAGGCTCTGGGCCTTCGGCTGATGCTGTGCAACGCCCGGTCCATGGTAAATAAAGCCCTCCTCATTTGTGATCTTGTTCAGGAGGGGGGAGCGGAACTGGTGGGTATTACGGGGACCTGGTTGGGCCAAGGGGGGTGTCCCCCTCTTTGAGATGTGCCCACCCGGTTTTCGTGCATTTCATCAGCCTAGGGCACAGGGGAGGGGAGGGGGGATGGCGGTTGTCATTAGAGAAGGTCTTGGTCTGAGGGAGGCCACTGTTCCTCAGACGGCTGGATGTGAGTCCCTCCTTGTGAAGTGAGGTCATGGGGTGCAGGTGGGCTTGCTGGTTACGTCCCTGGCTCCCTGCCACGTGGTGGCAGCCCTGCCCGAGCTGCTCAACGTTACAGCCGCGTTGGCGGTTGACACCCCCAGGCTTATGGTCATGGGGGATTTTAACCTGCCATCTGCCGGTGAGGCGTCTGAGGTGGCTCAGGAGTTCATGGCTTCCATGACGGCCATGGACCTGACCCAGTTAGTTCATGGCCCTACTCACATGGGGGGAAACACGCTGGACCTGGTTTTTGTCTCTGGTCAGTGGTTGAGTGATCTTGAGATAGGGGATATAGTGATCGAGCTCTTGTCATGGTTGGATCACTCCCTCCTTTGCTTTGACCTTCGAACCGCCGCACCCCGCCGCAGGGAGGCGGAACTGATGAGGTGGTTCCGCCCCAGGCGCCTGATGGATCCAGATAGATTCCAGACGGAGCTTGCACCATTTCCTGAGGCTCTGGCACATGGCTCGACTGAGGACCTGGTGGCTGCCTGGGATAGGGTGGCTGTTTGAGCTTTGGATCGGGTCGTGCCTTTGCTGCCTCTGACCCGGCGCCGATCTCGCCTGGCTCCTTGGTTCACCGAGGAGCTGAGGGAGATGAAGCACCGAAAAAGACGCCTGGAGAGCGGTTGGAGGGCCAGCCATTCTGAATCTGACCGAACACTGGTAAGGTCTCATATTAAGACCTACCTGGTGGCGATAAAAGCGGCGAAGTATAACTATTTTGCCATTCTTATTGCGTCATCAGATAATCGCCCGGCCGCCCTGTTTAGGGTGACCCGCTCCCTGCTCCACCAGGAAGTGCAGGAGGACCCTTGGAGGGTAGAGCCGAGGATTTTGTACAGTATCTGTATGAAAAAATCGCTCAGATTCCGGAACACCTGGACTCTGACTGGGTATATTCAGGGGGGAGGACAGAGGCAGGACTTATGAGTATTATCTGCGAAGCGTTTGATTCTGTGACGCCCGAAGATGTGGACAGGATACTGGGCAGACTGAGTGCAGCCACATGTTTATTGAACCCGTGTCCCTCCTGGTTGGTGCTGGCCTCTCGGGAAATTACACGAGGCTGGCTCCAGGGGATTATAAATGCTTCTCTGAGAGAGGGTGCCTTCCCCGCCACCTTGAAAGGCGGTGGTGAGGCCTCTCCTCAAGAAGCCTTCCCTGGACCCGGCAGTGTTGGCAAATTACTGTCCAGTCTCCAACCTTTGCTTCATTGCGAAGGTTGTTGAGAGTGTGGTAGCGCGACAGCTCCCTCAGTACCTGGATGAATCGTCGTATCTGGATCCGTTCCAGTCGGGCTTCAGGCCTGGGTACAGCATGGAAACAGCATTGGTCGCGTTGATTGATGATCTCTGGAGGGCTCGGGAAGAGGTTGTTTCTCTGTCCTGATCCTATTAGACCTCTCAGCGGCTTTTGATACCATCGACCATGGTATCATGCTGCACCGGCTAGAGGAGTTAGGGGTGGGCGGCACCGTCCTACGGTGGTTCTCCTCCTTTCTCTCTGACTGGTCGCAGTCCGTGTTGACGGGGGCAGAGGTCGACCCTGAGACCCCTTGTATGTGGGGTGCCACAAGGGTTGGTCCTCTTGCCCCTTCTGTTCAACATTCATGCGAAGCCGCTGGGTGAGATCATCTGTGATTTCGGGGTGAAGTACCACTAGTACGCTGACGACACTCAACTGTACATCTCCACCCCGGACCACCCTAATGATGCCCTTGAAGTGATGTCCCGGTGCCTGGAGACTGTGCGGATCTGGATGGGGAGAAACAGACTCAGGCTCATCCCATCCAAGACCGAGTGGCTGTGGTTTCCGACGTCCCGGTATAGTCAGTTGGTGCCATCA